GTTGAATTTTCACTTAGGGCCTCAAACAGTTCCCAAGCGTCAACTGGACTCTTACGCAGAAAAGCTCCATTACTAGAAGTATTAACCATGTTTCTATAAGAATCGGAGAGACTATCATAGAAAATCTATATTAAGTGCCATTATGTAATATCATGGTGTGGACATTTTCGTAGAAGATAATTATATATCTCCCAAGCATCATGGAATTGTTCTCCCAAGTTTGGGAAAATGCCATGATTTCTCTTCTCGTTTGACAAGTTTTACCTACTGTGTAGTACTTTTTCAAAAATTTTTGTTACAGCAACTCCCATGTAGATATGGAATTTGAAAGAAGGGAATGCAACCAAGTTCTTGCTTTGTCCTTAAGAGAAAATTGGAAAAGTCGCATCCTGAATGAATCATTAGTAAGAATGGTTAACTTGGTAGTTGAACACAATTCCAAAAATACATCCAAGTGCATATAAGGATCCTCTGTTGCATACCCATGGAAGGTAGGAAGCATTTGGATCATAGCAGGCTTGATCTCCAAATGGGTTGCATCAGCGTCCGGAAATACAAAGCACAAAGGAGAAGTGTATGTGGTAGGAATAAAATGGTCCCTCAATTGTGATAGTGGAGGGATAGGTGGAATGTAATGACTCGGTCATTTTACTTCCTTTCCTTTTTTTCGGTAATTTCTTTTTTCGTCTTTTTCCCTATTTTGTATTTTTCTCGTTTACCATTTTTCCTTGCACAACCTCACTTTTTGTGCTAGGATTTGATTCCGGCTTTGCATACATCCATGATAGTTAATTTTTATGATATCTACATTTTTACTTTTGTAAAAAAGCCTGCTAAGTGTTTACTTCCTTGTAAAAGGTATGGATGCATAACTTTTTGGTAATATTAATAACTTGTGGGATTTTTGTGTAGTTAAATAAAGTAAGTATTTTTCGTTTTTGAGACCATTTTGTAATTTTATTTGGAAGATATTTTAGAAAAAGGACCTTTTTGTAATTTTTAGAAAGTGTGACAAGGGTCACACTTCTATGGAACCACTTGTTGATATTTTAGTGGAACCATTTGGAAGCTTAATCTTTTGACACATGGAAGGTGGAGATTCACCCATTTGTTGGCCTATGATTGGAGCATTTCTTGGCTTGGATGGTTGATAAGTGTAGGATTCAGATTAAGCCTAGGAATGATCCTTAGATTAATGACAAGTGTAGGATTCATTATAAGTCTTGCACTATGTGTATGTCAAGACTATGGTATAGACTCACATAGTGAGTGGAGGAATGCTAAATCTGCCACTCACCACATTTTATTTCATCTTCCTCACCACTTTGTTTTCAAACCCTAATGTAGCCTCCATTGAAGGAAAAGCTTGACTTAAGGCTTTGACATCATTTTTGGCCTCCTTCCACTCACCTAAGACCCTTAAGCTTGCAATACTTTTGCTTCCTCTCACTCTCCTCTACAAAACCCTAGTTTGGTTATCCATTTTAAGCTTGGTTACCTTGGTTTATAGAGATTCAATTCTCTGTTGAGGTAGGGGGTATTCTAAGTTATGTTTTTAATGCTTTATATGCTTTATATCTTGATACAAGTGGAATACATGTCTCTAATCTAAATTTTAAGTGAGTAGTTAATAGTACCTTGCATGAAATTAAACTAGGACATGATTTTTGGAAAGGCCATGACTTGAACATATATTAATTTGAAGTCATTTAGGGCTGTTTTGAAAACTAGAGAAATTAATTTAATTAATTTTCATTTATATGTTTTCATGATTAAAATATTATTTTGAATTAAGATATGCAATGACCATGGTAGGTTCCTTAACATATATTAAATTGAGAATGTTTGGATGAGAAATGAAAATCTAGAGGAATTAAGTATTTTGTGTAATTAATTTCCTTCCTTGTTGTATTAATGATTTGAGTATGTATTTTGTGTTTATTTCATATTTCAATCATAATTTTAGACTTGTATCACAATTGTGAGATTATGTACTTAATATGGATTAATATTACTGTAGAATGTAACAATTTGTATAATGATGTTTCAACATTCTTTATGCCATTATAGTTGTGAACTTGGGGTGTATATTGTGTTTCCAAAATTAGTTTATGCACGGTTGATGGTTTTACGTTGTGTATATATGGTTATGCTAATATATATACATTGTTGCACAAATTGTTGATTGCGAAAACTTAGGATGTCATTGTTATGACTAAGGCTGGGGCATGGTTCTAGCACGGGGGATTATCCCTCTACAAGTCTAGTGCCCACCTAGGGAGGTTACTCGTGGGCTAGTAACCCTAAAGTAACTATGGTGTCGGTCTGATCCAGCGTGATGTCCAAGTATCCACTTTGGTTTGATTTCACACTTTAAATACCAAGTTGACAACTTTTTGAGTTTATATCTTATTGTATTGTGTTGGGAGTTCCAATGTTGGTTAAACATTATAAATTGATTTAAATTAAATTGCAAAGTTGTATAAAGTTAGGTTTTGCATGCTCATTCCCTACGAGTAAACTTGTTTACTCACCCCAAAGTCACCGGGTTATTTTTAGGTAAAGAAGCATTATTGTGGGATGCACAACACTCTTAGACTTGCTTAACTACATGGAGCATTTTTGTTATATTAAAATATGCACTTGTTAGCATATCATGCTTCCTTTTTGATTTAATGTATCAAAACTTGTATTTATTGTTCAACCTATGTAATGTGCACTTAAGTGCACCTTTTGTTACTCTTTGAAGATATATGTAATGAGGCCAAGGGCCAAGAACAATTATATGACAAGTATGCTAGCTTAACTTCATTGTTTGTTTATAGGATTTCATACATTGAAGGGTCATATTTTGCCCGTGACATGCCATTAGGCTGTAGCCTATTGTAGCGCATCTACTTCGTTATTTTACACATGCGTGCATGTTCACATTTTATAAAACTTTTAAGTTCCAACTTTTGAACTATTTTTGGGTGATTTTATGAATTTTCATGAAAAATTCATGCATTGGGGTATCATTCAATGTTCCTTTTGATTTAGCATGTTATGGATGTTTATATAAGGCTTAAAGATGTTTTGAAACTTGTTCGGATCAAATAGAATGCATGTAGAACCTTAGGTTGGGCTAAGCACATCCCACAGGCATTACAGCAGTAGCTTTTTTTACTGCTGTCTACTATGTCGGCCGGCTGATGAGAGTCATTAGTCGACTAGCACATGTTCGAGTTGCATTCCAGTAGCCTTTTTGGGGAATTTTGGCCTTTCGGCAGGCTGGCAATTGAGGTTTGACTGGCTGATGAAAGGGTTTCGGCCGGCTAGTCCTTGCTATCAGTCGGCTGATCCTCTCTAGAGTCTTTAACTTTCAGTTTTCTTGGACAGTTTTGTACACCAACTTTAGAGGGGCATATCTCAGTCATTTTAAATTCAATTCGGGTCATTCTTGAGTCTAATTTCAAGAGCTTGAAGTCAACCATACACCTAAATTCCAACCGTAAGGAGAGGTATCGCAGTTTAAATAAGATAGGGTCGGGGTATCTCCTAATTGAAAAATACCACTTCGTTTTAAATTCATTTCTTTTCCATTCGGACTCTGAATCAAGCAATTCTTGAGTCCATTTTAATTCATTTTTCGTTATCCTTCCAACGGTATACTTGGTAGTATCCACTCCTTCATGAAATGACCATTTCACCCCTATGCTGATACTTGTTCATTTTTGAAATATCGTTTTTGTATTTGTTTTCATTGTGTTCCGTGACCCCATCGAGGGTCATATTGGTGTCTTGGAGATATGTTGTATTTCTAGAGACCATTGTTTTACTTTTTGTTTCCGCATTCTGGATTCATTAATGGATCTACGACGCACTGGCCTAAGAAAACAGGGTTGTCACAAGTGGTATCAGAGCACCTAGGTTCGAAAACCTTTGGACAACGGGTTTGGGTGCAAATCATTCTTTTATTTATTTGCTTTGATATGCTTATATGTTACTTGTTAACCTATTTTGGTATTATGACATGTCTCTATGCTTATATGCTTATGTGTTTAAAAGCATCCTTGTTTGACATGTATGCATATTTGCTTAAGTGCCTAGCTGTTTAAAGAGCTTTCCTTGATTGTTTTAGCATAATTGTATGTTGCATACCTTATCATGCCTCGTGTTTTGTGCACTCATAGTGTGAGTTGCAATCGGTCATAATAGCTTGTGTTATTGTTGACCTCTTTCCTTGCATACGTTTAGCATCATAGTTGTCACGCATGGGGAGTCTTCACGTCAGGGCATTGAGGAGCAGGTGGATAACACCGAGTTTGCGAGGGGTCCAGGGAGGCCCAGGATTCCAGTTCGTGGCATGGGTCCTAATCCACCACGAGCGCCGACTTATGAGGAGCAGATTGCATAGGGAGTGGCTCTGGGGATGTTAGAGTCCGTTCAGCAGATGTTTTGTCAGCATATTACAAGGATACAGATTCCAGTACCGGTACTTGCACCGGCCACCAAGTCATTACCTCCACATCGTGGATATTGGTCATTGACCTCCACCTATTGGTATCTCCCATTAACATAGAGGCTATCAAGGATATCCTCAATCAATTAGTAGGTACTGCTATACTATCGAGCTTGCGCACCATAAGATCAAACCATGCCTTTGAAGCAAGCGAATCCATAATCCCTGCAAACTGGTCGATGTTAACCCGTTGTAACTTCATGAAGTAGTCCAATGCTTCATTAGCAACTGGTGCGAGTTTAGGACATTGCTCTTTGACCGCTTCTTTCCGAGGACTATGAGGTAGGATATGAGAGTGCAGTTCATAGGTCTCTATTAGGGCATGATGAGTGTCATTGAGTATGAGACACGTTTCACTTCCCTTTCTCGCTATGCACCAGAGATGGTAGCTATTGATGAGCTTAGGGTAAGGAAATTTCAGGATGGGTAACATCTTGATATTAGGCCAAGGATTTCAATATTGGATTGGAGGACCTAAGGAGAGGTAGTACAGAAAGCTATGTTGGTTAAGGCAGAGGACCGAGATCAGCGTAGAATCAAGAGGTCATATAAGCAGTCTCGTGGAGAGGCTTCAGTAGTATCTGTTGGGGGTTAGTGGAAAAAGGCTAAGGCCAGGGTCAGGTCTCATGTCGAGGGACAGTCACAGAAGGCCCAGTCTGCACCCATAGTTCCTATTTCATTGGGGAAGTTAATTTGTCACCACTGTCAGCAGCTGGGGCACATTAAGCCTCACTGCCCATAGTTGCAGCCTCAAGGCAGTCATAATCAGACGGGTAAGTCTTCAACTTCAACACAGGGACTTTAGGGGGTTTGCCATTACTACAAGCAACCCAGACATTTCAAGAGGGAGTGTTCACGCCTACAGAACAGAGCACAGAGTGGAACTGGTTCACAGGCCACACCGGCACAATCTACAAATGTTCATTCAGGTTTTAGGGTGCCTCAGGCACCACAGCCAGTGGCGCTGTCTGTTGGTTCTTATCCGGGTAGAGATTCTGCGCCTACTGCTTCCGAACATCAGTCAGGCCATCAGGGTAGTTCTCAGTAGTCAGGGGCTCAGGGATGGGTCTACGCATCGCCACAGGCCGATACCTCCACTGGAACTTCTACAATTCTAGGTATCTTTCCGGTTTTCAGTTCTTGGGTTAGAGTTCTTGTTGACACGGGTGCATCCCATTCATTCATATCGACTTCATTTGCACATTCTTTGGGTTTAAAGTTTACGCAGCGGGATAGTTTCCTTTGCGTTGACACACCAGTTGGGGGTCTAATGTCTTTGGATCGTGTTTGTCAGGGTTGTGCTACCGAGATAGCTAGATGGACTTTAGAGTTCGATTTTTGACATGATGGGCTTTGACGTCATTCTTGGGATAGACTAATTGTCTTGCTTTCATGCTGCAATCAATTACTTCCACAGACGAGTGTTAGTTTTCACTCCTACAGGAGATTGTTTTCATTTCGTGGGAGATCGGTACGATTCCCACTCGATGATGATTTTTAGTATCGATGACTGGAATCGCCACAAGTCCTACTTGGCTAGTCTATTAGCCGACGATGATAGTAGTTCAGGCCGTGTTTATCCAGCAGTTGTTGTGGAGTTTCTGGATGTTTTTCCAGAGGAGTTGACAGACCTTCTTCCTCTTCAAGAAGTTATCTTTGCCATTGGCGTCATTCCTGGTACTGCACTGCTCTTTATGGCACCGTATTGTATGGCACAGGCAGAGTTGGATGAGCTGAAAGCTCAATTGGATGATTTGAAAGCCAAGGGCTTTATTCGTCCAAGTGCTTCGCCCTAGGGAGCACCGGTTTTTTTTGCGAAGAAGAAGGATGGGTCTTTGAGACTTTGCATCGATTATCACAAGCTGAACCATGTTACGATCAAGAACAGGTATCCTTTGCCTAGGATTGATGACTTGTTTAATCAGTTGAAATGAGCTACTTGTTTTTCAAAGATTGATTTAAGGTTGGGATTACTACTAGTAGAGGGTTAAGGATGAGGATATATCCAAGACCACTTTCTGCACAAGGTATTACCATTATGAGTTTCTAGTGATGCCATTTGGTTTGACTAATCCTCTAGCAACTTTTATGGACTTGATGAACCATGCTTTCAGTGACCATCTTGATCAGTTTGTTATGGTTTTCGTCGATGACATTCTTGTATACTCAGCTCTGGTAGGGGAACATGAGTATCATTTGAGGATAGTGTTGCAGATCATTAGGGATAATCAGTTGTACACTAAGTTCAAGAAATGCAAATTTTGGCTATCGGAAGTGAAGTTCCTTGGACATGTTGTGTCGGGGGGCAGTGTTGCAGTGGATCCGTCAAAAGATTGAATCGGTGATAGATTAGAATGTCTGAAGACAGTGTTTGAGATTTAGAGTTTTCTTGGCCTAGCTGGCTATTACCGAAGATTTTTTTCAAGATTTATCTCATTTAGCGGCACCTATGACTCGACTTACCCACAAGGGGGTCAAGTTCATATGGAACGAGGTGTGTGAGGTTGCTTTTCAAGAACTGAAGGTCAAGTTGACAACGGTTCCAGTTTTAATCATTCTCGAGCGTGGTTTGGGTTATGTGATCTTTTGTGACGCTTTACAGGAAGGTTTGGGTTGTGTCTTGATGCAGATAGAGTGGGTGGTTGCTTATAGGTCTCGATAGTTGAAGACTCACGAGTTGAACTATCTGACACATGATTTGGAGTTGGCAGCAGTTATCTTTGCCCTGAAGGGGTGGAGACAGTATTTGTACAAGAAGAAGTTTGAGGTTTTCTCCACTCATAAGAGTCTCAAGTATCTCTTTTCTCAAAATGATTTGAACTTAAGACAGCATAAATGGGTCGAGTTCATGGAGGACTATGACTTTTAGTTGTAGTACCATCTGGGTAAGGCCAATGTAGTGGCTGATGCATTGAGTAGGAAGTCACGGGGGACTCTTGCTAGCATTTCCGTTCACTGATGGAAGATACTAGAAGAGCTTGTAGATCTTGGTTTACAGTCTTATGAGGATGTTTCACCGGCTCTTTTGTTTAGCCTTATGGCTCAACCGGCTCTTGTTAGCAGAGTTATTAGGGCGCAGTTAGAGGATGGGGAGATGAAGGCCATCCATGTTTGGATTTTAGGTGGTGAGAATGTAAAGGGTTAGGCCTTACATTCAGATGGTGGTTTGAGGTACAAGGAGATGATGTTCATTCCTTTGTCTTGTTGTGAAGATGTTCTTTGGGATTTTCACCACTCTTGGCTCGCAGTTCATCCTGGTGGTATAAAGATGTATCACAATCTACGGCAATAGTTTTCATGGCAAAGGATGAAACGGGATGTTTCACAGTTTGTGGCTCGATGCCTTACTTGTCAGTAAGTGAAGGCAAAGCATCGGCGACCGGCAGGATTATTGCAACCATTACCAGTAGTTGAGTGGAAATGGGAGCATATCACTATGAATTTTGTAACGAGACTTCTAAGGTCTTAGGTAGGGAATGATGCCGTTTGGGTCATAGTTGATAGGTTGACTAAGATGGCTCACTTCTTACCCATGGCAGTGATAGACAGTGCAGAGAGACTGAGTGGACTGTATGTGAGGCAAATCATCAGGCTTCACGGGGTTCCTATATCCATTGTTTTGGATAGGGATCCGCGGTTCACGTCTCACTTTTGGCAGAGTTTTTAGGAGTCTCTTGATACGATACTTCATTTCAGCACGGTATTCCATCCTCAGATAGATGGATAGTTGGAGCGCACCATTCAGATATTGGAGGATATGTTACAGGTTTGTTTCTTTTGGATTTTGGGGGTAGTTGGGAAGACTACTTGCCTTTGGTTGAGTTTGCCTACAACAACAGTTACCAGACCGGTATTGGCATGGAACCTTTTGAGGCATTGTATGGCAGACCTTTCAGACCTCTAGTTTGTTGGACCGAGGTCATTGATATCATTGCCTTGGGTCTTGACAATGTCATTGAAACTATAGAGAAAATCAAGTTGATTCGATAGCTATTGACTACCACACAGAGCAGACAGAAGAGTTACGCTGACAGGAGGAGGCGATCTTTGTCTTTTAAGGTAGGGGACCATGTATGTCTTAAGATTTCTCCGCGCGAGGGGCTTATGAGATTTCGACAGACCGGCAAGTTGTCTCTTAGGTTCATTGGACCATTTGAGATTTTAGAGCACGTTAGTGAAGTTGCTTATTGTTAGGCGTTACCGTCAAAACTGGATAGGGTTCACGACGTCTTTCATATTTCTATGCTGAGGAAGTACGAGCTGGACCCATCGCATGTTCTGTGCTGGAATGATGTGGTTGTTGATGAGGACGTGACCTATGAGGAAAGTTTGGTCCAGATTCTTGATTCACTGGAACAGGTCTTGCAAACCAAGACCATTCCATTGGTTAAGGTCATGTGGAAACACCATGGCATTGAGGAGGCCACTTGAGAGCTCGAACAAGAGGTTCGCTCTCGGTATCCCCATTTGTTCTTTCTTTTAGGTACGACTCAATTTCGGGGATGAAATCCTTTTTAAGGAGGGCAGGTTGCAATGACTCGGTCATTTTACTTCCTTTCCTTTTTTTCGATAATTTCTTTTTTCGTCTTTTTTCCTATTTTGTCTTTTTCTCATTTACCATTTTTCCTAGCATAACCTCACTTTTTGTGCTCGGATTTGATTCCGGCTTTGCATACATCCATGATATTTAATTTTCATGATATCTACATTTTTACTTTTGTAAAAAAGCATGCTAAGTCTTTACTTTCCTTGTAAAAGGTATGGATGCATAACTTTTTGGTAATATTCATAACTTATGGGGGCATTAGTGTGATTAAATAAAGTAATTATTTTTCATCTTAGGGACCATTTTGTAATTTAATTTGGAAGATATTTTGGAAAAGGACCTTTTTGTAATTTTTGGAAAGTGTGACAAGTGTCACACTCCTATGGGACCAGTTGTTGACATTTTGGTGGAACCACTTGGAAGCTTAATCTCTTGACACATAATAGGTGGAGATTCACCCATTTGTTGGCCTAGGATTGGAGCACTTATTGGCTTGGATGGTTGACAAGTGTAGGCTTAGGATTAAGCTCAAGAATGAGTCTTAGATTAATGACAAGTGTAGGGTTCATTATAGGTCTTGCGCTATGTGTGCGAGAAGACCATGGTGTAGACTCATATAGTGAGTGGAGGAATGCTAAATACTCCACTCAACACATTTTATTTCATCTTCCTCACCACTTTGTTCTCAAACCCTAACCTAGCCTCCATTGAAGGAAAAGCTTGACTCAAGGCTTTGACTTAATTTTTGGCCTCCTTCCACTCACCTAAGACCCTTAAGCTTGGAATAATTTTGCTTCCTCTCACTCTCCTCTACAAAACCCTAGTTTGGTTCTCTATTTTAAGCTTTGTTACCTTGGTTTATAGAGATTCAATTCTCTATTGAGGTAGGGGGTGTTCTAAGTTATGTTTTTGATGCTTTATATGCTTTATATCTTGATACAAGTGGAATACATGTCTCTAATCTAAATTTTAAGTGAGTAGTTAATAGTGCCTTGCATGAAATTAACTTAGGACATGATTTTTGGAAAGGCCATGACTTGATTCATAACATATATTAATTTGAAGTCATTTAGGGTTTTTTTTTGAAAACTAGAGAATTTAATTTAATTAATTTTCATTTATATGTTCTCATGATTTAAATCAAGTTTTGAAGTAATATATGCAATGACCATGGTAGGTTCCTTAACATATATTAAATTGAGCATGTTTAGATGAGAAATGAAAATCTAGAGGAATTAAGTATTATGTGTAATTAATTTCCATCCTTGTTGTATTAATGATTTGAATATGTATTTTGTGTTTATTTCATATTTAAATCATGATTTTAGACTTATATCACAATTGTGAGATTATGTACTTAATATAGATTAATATTGTTATAGAATATAAAAATTTCTACAATTATGTTTCAACATTCTTCATGCCATTATAGTTGTGAACTTAGGGCATGTATTGTGTTTCCAAAATTGGTTTGTGCATGGGTGATGGTTTTACATTGTGTATATATGTTTATGCTACTATATATACGTTGTTGCACAAATTGTTGATTTTGGAAACTTGGGATGTCATTTTTATGACTAAGGCTAGGGCATGGTTCTAGTACGGGGAATTATCCCTTTACAAGTCTAGTGCGCACATAGGGAGATTACCTGTGGGCTACTAACCCTAAAGTAACTATGGTGTCGGTCTGATCCGGCGTGATGTCCAAGTATCCACTTTGGTTTGATTTTGCACTTTAAATTCCAAGTTGATAACTTTGTGAGTTTATATCTTATTGCATTGTGTTGGGAGTTTCAATGTCGGTTAAACATTATGAATTGATTTAAATCAAATTGCAAAGTTGTATAAAGTTAGGTTTTGCATGCTCATTCCCTACGAGCAAAGTTGTTTACTCACCCCAAAGTTACTGAGTTATTTTTTAGGTAAAGATGCTTGACTACATGGAGAATTTTTGTTATATTAGAATATGCACTTATTAGCGTATCATGCTTCCTTTTTGGTTTAATGTATCAAAACTTGTATTTATTTTTCAACCTATGTAATGTGCACTTAAGTGCACCTTTTGTTACTCTTTAAAGGTATATGTAATGAGGCCAAGGGCCAAGAACAATTATATGACAAGTATGCTAGCTTAACTTCATTATTTGTTTATAGGATTTCATGCATTGAAGGGTCATATTTTGCATATGACATGCCATGTGGCCGTAGCCCATTATAGTGAATCTACTTCGTTATTTTACATATGCGTCC